TCTGAAAAGTTGATTGTGGAGCCGCCTTTGAAAATTGGTGGCCATTGTAGGCCCATTGTGGGCGAAGTAAAATTTCCGCCCGGTTGCGCCTAAGTGTGCAAACCACCGTAAAATTGATGTAAACTTGCGTCCTTCTTGGAGATTTACACGACTCCTCTAACACTGATATTATCTCTACGAATTTTCCAGTGCCAGAGCTAAACCGAAGTTATTTTTATTACTTATTTATAATTTTATGTATAGATATTTTAATACTAATTTTATAAAAATCTACAATTATAGGCATATTTTGCATTATTTTTTATTTTACCTTTTCGTTTTGAAACGATTAAAAATTATCTTTACGAAAAGAAATTAAGTCACTTTCTTCTTCTTTCGCGGCTGCGTCGGCTAGACACGTAGTGTTTTATTACTTCTTGTTTGTTGTTTTTGATAATCAGTTTTTTGATTTTTTGCTCTTGTATCTTTTTGACAAACTAATTTTTGAACAGCAATAAATTATTCATACATATAAGTGCAAATTTTATACATACATTTTTCTTTCCTACAGTGAGAATCTTAAGTCTTACTCCCCCTAACTAACTCGTTACTGGACGCCAAGACAGGTCGATTTTTGTTTTCTACAATGTACATTTTTGTATGATTAGTTTACTCTTAATTTCATCCCTTACTCGAGGGGAGCAACCCTTTCGAAAAATTTAAATGGCATGGGGTGGTGAGTGATAGCTCATTTGAAAGAGGGTTTTATTCTCTATTCAACCATGTAAAAAATTTTGAAATTTGCTTTATTAATTCTCGACTAATTTTTGTTTCAGAATAACGGAAATTAACGTAGCACACTCATCCTTAGAATTAAAATTCGGCCCTGCATGATTTCGGTTTTGGTTCAGACGTGAAGTAAGACTTTTTGCCATTAGAAGGTCACTGTTAGTTTAGTTGCTTTCCTATTTTGTGAGGATTTGTTATTTTTAAACATTAATAAATCAACACGTAATTAAGCAAATTTCAAAATTTTTTGCACGGTTGAATAGAGAATAAAACCCCCTTTCAAATGAGCTATCACTCACCACCCCATGCCATTTAAATTTTTCGAAAGGGTTGTTCCCCTCGAGTAAGGGATGAAATTAAGGGTAAACTAATCATACAAAAATGTACATTGTAGAAAACAAAAATCGACCTGTCTCGGCTATTTTCCTAACAAGACTCCAGTAACGAGTTAGTTAGGGTGGGGTGACTTAAGATTCTCACTGTATATATCTACTTTCGTAGTTTTTATGAATATTGTTATAGTTACATTTTAAGCAATCTGTAAAAGTAGAACCAGAAATTCAAAGAAAAATATTATTAAATTTGTCTATACATCTATTAAAAAATTAAAGAATCATTCAATTTAGCACAGTTGAAGAGCGAATCAATATCAAATTTCTAGTATATTTAGGAGGGTCCAAATTCAATGCAGTTTAATTTTAAAAGTTCTACAAAGCCTTTCCGGTGGTGTGACTTTTCAAGTGGGTATAATGCTCATTTTAGAAGGTTTATTAACTTGTGGTAGGAACACATGTACAAGTAGATTCAAATATAGTATGAAGTGGCAATATAAGTTTTGTAATATAAAGTTTATAGCAAACAGTTGGTTGTATGTACTTTTGTACTCTTTATTCATATTGGTGTTAAAATATGACATGGAATTCGGAAATATTAGAAGATAATTTTTTTTTTTGTAATAAATCTGAATATTAATATTCTCCTATGTTTGGTAATTAAATTAAATAAACATCAAACTCATTCAAGCGTTTAAACATGATTAAATTTATGCATAATAAATAATAATTTCTAACAATAAACTGTAGTGTTAAACCTTCCTGCGTCAACACCAATTATATCGACTACAAGTAAAAAATTTCAAACGCAAAAAGTTAAAATGCTTCTTATCTGTGTCGGTAACTTTAAGAGCCTTTTATTTAAAAGAATCAAGAGCGGTGTATTAGTAACAGTCGACCGATTTTCCAATATAAGACTCATTACGTAGGATGTAAACTTCAAAACCAATATCCGCTGAAATATCTCATCGAATATTGCTCAAAATACAAACATACCTACTTCCTCCTTCTCTCGGCCTTTTATCAGAGCCACGATGCTTCCATTCATGGATTTCATGAGATCGCTGCAGATGTTTAAAAATGCTTTTGTAAAATCAAACGAGCGTAATAACGTTTAGTGCAAATATCAAGTGGTCTGGAGACTTATTGCTCGACAAGGCAAAAAATACTTTATTAAAAGTTACTGTGGGTTAAGATTCTTCTTTTTTTTTTGTTGATATTCTTTGGAAAGACTATAAATGGAAAAGTTATTTACAGATAAGTTCTAAAAGTAAAACTAAGCTCCGAAATGTTATTGTTTCAGAAAATTATACGCTTGGAGTAACATGTGTTTAGTGTCTCATTAATATTTGTTGTAAACATAGATATGGATTAGAGGAGATAGGAAATGTAATTTTCCTCATCAGGCACGTAGAACTGAAGAAGACTATCTTTTAAACAGAAGGGACTCACGTGCTTGCGCATTGATTGCGTATTGAATAAAACTTACACATAACCTTAAAAATTCGTATTATAATTTTATTATCGGGTTGGTGGTGTAGTGGTCTAACGCGCTTATATTCATTTATAGGCCAGTTTATGAGTCAAAGACTGCTGGGCTTCGAATCCCAGACCAGACCATATGGATTTTTAATTAAATTGCATGGTTCGGTTTAGGATTTGATGTGTGCTGTATTAATAGAAATTCAATTTCGGTTGATATGACATGCAGATTATAAAATCGCCATTCATTACCGTCTCGATGATGGTGGGTAAGGTTTTCCGGGTTTTCCTCACCTGTAAGTCAAATGGCACCATCAACATTTTAACTTCACTGATTAATGAATCCTTTGAAATTGGTCTCTTTCCTAACTGTCTAAAAACAGCTATAATAATCCCACTTCATAAAGGTGGCGACAAAACCAAAACCTGTAACTATAGACCTATCGCGTTATTGCCTACCTTATCGAAGATAGTAGAACGGCTAATGAAAAACCGTCTTTTGCCCTTTCTTTTCAAGCATAACATCCTCACAGCTCATCAGTATGGCTTTCTACCTAAAAAATGCACTAGCGACGCAATGTTTTCCGTTCTTAATGAAATATACACATCACTTAATGATAAACTTTTCACCGCTTCAGTATTTTGTGACTTCGCAAAAGCCTTCGATTGTGTAAATCATGATATTTTAATTAATAAGTTACAAATTTATGGCATACGGGGATCTCCTTTACAATGGTTTAAAACTTACCTAGAAAATAGAAATCAACAGGTGCGGGCGAATGGTGAGGATTCTACAAATCTAGCAATAAGCAGTGGAGTACCTCAAGGATCAGTATTAGGTCCAATTTTGTTTTTATTATTCATCAACGACATCACAGACTTAAGAATAAGTGGTAGAATTACTTTATTTGCTGATGACACCAGTGTAACCTGGAATAATTCTAACATGCAGACATTACAATCTATCATAAGTGAAGATCTAGTGACTATTAAGTCCTGGTCTGATTCGAATGGACTTTGTTTCAACACCAGTAAAACTGTAGCATTGTCTTACAGAGGTACTTTACAACCTCTAACTCTAAACAATAATCTGATCCAAACGGTGACTTCAATCAAGTTTTTAGGTCTTTATATAGACAATTCTCTAAAATGGTCTGCTCAGCAAAAAAATTATCCTCCGCATGTTTTGCCATTAAATCGGTTTCTAAAGAGCTGACTCCTTCTACTGCATTAATAACCTACTTTTCCTTATTCGAATCTCACCTTCGCTATGGTTTACCTTTCTGGGGTTCTTGTAGCTTATACCTTTTCGAATCTATTTTTAAACTGCAAAAAAGAGCAATCCGCTATGTATTTGATTTAAGTAGTAGGACACATTGCGAAAATTACTTCAAAAATTTCAAAATTCTAACCCTTCCTGCTCTATTTATTTTCGAATCCGTCTGCTTAGTTCGCAAGCACATTCAAAATTTATCCGAAAGACCGACTCGTAGATATCCTACAAGAAATTTAGAGACTGATGTTTATTTAACAATGCCCACTTCTGACCTATTAAAACATTCCATTACCTACAATGCCAAAAAATTGTATAATAACCTTCCGATGCAATTAAAATCTATAAATACATACGATAAGTTCCGAAGACTGGCTAAAGCTTTTCTTCTAGAAAGACCATATTACACAGTAGCAGAATTTTATAACGTATTTTAGACATTTGAGTTCCACTTACAATGGCATTAATTAAATAATTAAATATTAAAGTTTAAATTTAAAAATTAAATTAGAATAATTATAATGACGGATATTGCATATCCATTGCAATTGTTATTCCTATTTTGTCTGTTTGTTTCTGTTTGTTTTTTCTGCTGTTTAGTTATTTTTATAATATGTTTAGTATTTAAGTCACACGCTTTGTCTATAAAATTTTTGTAAATTTTTTTACGACAATAAAGCATATCTCTCTCTCTCTCTCTCTCTCTCTCTCTATATCTCTCTAATCATCTTTAAGTCGCCCTGGAGCGCCACGGCAAATAATAATAATAACAATAACAAGCTCAGCTTTTGGGGTTAAAATTCACTCGTAAGGGGGTGAATTAGGGAGAGTATTATTATTATTTTTCTTTTTTATGAATTTTAAGAGATTTCTAAAAATGAAACATATCAAACATCTTGTTTAAAACTATTTAAAATTTCATTTTTTCTTTCTTTAATTATCAGCTATTTTATTTTTTATTTTTGGATTGTTTTCACTTTGGGAATATGAGGGTGTAATTTTTATAATTTCTTACAAGGGGAATTGGAGATTTTTTTTTCGTATTTCCAAAATTGCACAAATGAATTAAATAAATACGAAGACTTTCGTTCGCTTTATAATTCTCTATTTTTAAGAAATTTTCTACAATTAATTTTCTTTTTCAGGGACCAAAGTAGATGTGGCCAAATACACTAACAGCCGGGTAAGTTTAAATACTTCTTTTTATAAATTACGAATATATTACAAAACAATGGCGAAATTAAACGAACTGAATCTGTAAAAGTATCCCTTAAAATAGCACACCTGTGCGCCGACGCTAGTGTTTCCCGAAATAAGTAGTATCTACGGCATTCAATTATGATCAATAAAATAAATCTCCTGTTTCAAGTTGATCAAGTTTTTAGTATACAAAATGTGCTTCTATCTTCGAATCAACATGAGAATTAAAATAGAGGGGTATATATTTTTTCTTTCGCTACATTAACTTCCAAGTAATACCGTTAAAATATCAAAAAAGACTTTCTAAATGTGTCTATACAGATGCACACGTTGTATCTAAACAAAAATCATCGGCTTAAGAGACAGCACGGTGCCATCTTGAAATCTTCAAAATAATTAAATTGATCATCTATGTAGAAAATGCCGTTATTATGATGGGCTTAGGGCGGTCTCTTTCAAAAGTAAACTGTACAAAAACGGTATCTATTCCGTGTGTATTTGTCTGGATGTTCGTACCTACGTGATAAACTGAAAAAAAATTGTATTTTGTTACAAAGAGTGTGTTCTGGTTATTGTGATTTTTTCAATAAAAGAACCTATTTCTTTTACTGGTACGATGGCGACAGTTTTAACTCGCTTTGGTTTGTTTGAGAGTGAATTAAAATATTTTATAGGTATTATACGTGCATTAGTTATGTTAGAAAATAAATTAGGAAATTTTTAGTTTTTTAGTACCGCTTGGGTATGGTTATACCTATCATATCAAAGAGTTACACAAAATGCAATTACATTTTGTTCTAATCTTCGATCATATAAACAGCAGATAAATATTATCGCTCATTTTTTATCGCCAATATGAAACTGGAATTTTTTTTAAAGATTAAACTGGTACTAAACTCAAACAAATAATGATTGAGAGTGAACCTTGTTGTCATATCTCAATTTTACCTTACTAGTTTTTAGCAGAATCAAAATAGAGTAAGTAGTAGAGTTGTAAGTTGTGGCAAATTATAGATAATATACAATCATAGTACTAATAAAAGATATTAATTATAACAAAAATCAGTAATGAGTAATACTTATACATTTCTTGATCATTTAAAATTAATTATTTTATGGATTGTTCAGTATTTGTTACAACTAATGGCATCGGTGTACGGAGCGATATTTGTGTCTTTGTCTGTTACGCGTAAAATCCATCTCGTCGATGACGTTCTCAGTAGTGTATTTCTAACCACGAGCATAACATCGGGTTTTGAATTATACGGTGTGAATTGTAAGTTTTACAGTTAAGTTAGTAAGTAATCGACGTGTTGTAAGAACAATTGGTGAAAATATTAGTGCTAATAAGTGTTTAAACATTAAATAATAATATTTCTACACCGTTCTAAAACTATGCAAAAAATGGAAGACATTGAAGGGCCTTCAACGTCGAAAAAGGTAAAACGGTCGAAGTCTCGGTCGCTAAGTGAAAAACAAATTGTACTTCGAGTATTTCACTGTCTTGAAAGAGATCATCAGCGACCAAAAGATAACTTAGTGCATATGTGCTGTAATTCTACGGATGTACCTCCGAATAACCAACCGGGCGTTCCAACATCATTAACTTCCACAATTACAAAAGATAAATTAGTTGATATGTGCTCTGATTATACGGGTGTACCAAAATCATCAGTTTACAAAATACTAAGAGAAAACAAAATTCATGGGGAAGTACAAACGCCAAAAACTAGTAGCGGAAGAAAAAAAATCACAGTTGATGAAGAAGCCAAAAACAGTATACGCACAACTATTCACAGTTTCTTTTTCAGAAATGAGCTGCCCACTTTGCAAAAAGTTCTGGAGGCAGTTAGCGATCATGAATTGGTCCCACAAATGAGTAAAGAAACTTTGAGGAAAATTTTACACGAAATGAAATTTACGTACGGAAAAGTCGACAGGAAAAGCATTCTCATTGAACGTCAGGAAATAATAGTATGGAGAAGAAATTATCTCCGAAAAATTGAGGAATTTCGGAATATAAAAAAAAAAATTTACTACATGGATGAGACGTGGGTTAACCAAGGACATACGGTCAAAAAAGTATGGCAGGATGGTCATATAACAAGTGCACGACAAGCCTTTATTGAAGGCTTGTCAACTGGGTTAAAACAGCCGTCTGGAAAAGGTAGTCGTCTGATAGTTACGCATATAGCATTAATACAAAAGAAGGAAAGAAACTTCCAGCATTTTATATGAACCTTTTTGTCTCAAAATTATGAACAAGAGCGCCTTAAAGTTTGGCCATATACAACAAGAAAATAACTATTTTAATACAAATACATTGTCATTTCTTTAAATTCATTAATGTTTTGTCCGATATTTTGAATCTCCCTATAGATATTAAAGGTTTTTTTGGCACTATTTTAATGAGCACAAAATTGAGCAACTTTTGTCTAATTTAACCAACTTTATATCTATTATCGTTTAATAAATAGCATTACTACTGTCTCTATGAAATATAGGGACCCTGGTATAGTATAGTAAATAATTATTTTTAAACAAAGGTATTTATTATGGGAAAAAACAAGCGACGTTTTTTAACAACTTTAACACCCTGTTCGAGATCCCTTAGAGCAGCCCAAAAACAATAAACACAGAGGCACGATGTTCCGCTAATAGAGTTGTCTAGTATTTTGGTGTGATTGAAGGGACCCCAATTCGATTCTCCGGTCTTTATGACCCTTATCAGTATTTGCACTCAACTCCCTTGATGGCCATCACGGTTATTTTGCCTTTGCCGCTGTAGTCTTGAGATAACAACAAATGACTGCTCACCCTTATTGGTCCTTTCGCCCTTCTGTTACGGATTTTCTTAGCCAATTTGAAAAAATAACACGCTTTTTATCGGAAGATATGCTACTACTACCACCACTAATAATGAGTAGTTTCGTGTCAAAATACAGCGAATGATTAAGTAATTATGGGTTAGGATTTTAATAAACGAAAATCGTTATGAAACACTGTAAAATTCAAAAATATGATACAAAGAATTTTTTTTATAGATTCTTCACGAATGTCTTACATGAGAATCAGCGAAAAGATTATATTTTGTAAAGCAGTGGCGATCATATCCCTTTGCAAAGGGGGCCACTAGCATAGGGTGATTCAAAATTGAGTGCAAAAATTTTAAGGGCGTATTTACCAGCCAAAAATAGGAAATTTTTTCCTATAATCGTATCTCCTAACTTTTCTAGATGCAGAGTGTCTAAGTTTTTTTATAAAAATATACGAGTAAAGCTCAAGAGGAAAGCAAAATACATAATTGACTGCTTAACAAAAAAAAAATTTAATTGTCAAAAAAGCAGTGCCTTACCATAATTTTACTTATAAGTATTAAGTAGGTAGCCCCCTGAGACGCCACTGCAATCAATATATTTATTTTATTTTCACCAAAGGAAGGCCCTTATAACGACAAATAAGCCTACTAAATTTTATTTAAATCGACTGAAAGGTTTTTGAGTAATTGATAAAAAATCGATTTTTAAAAAACTTTGACGCCCTGTATCTAAAAAATGAAGCAAGTTAGGACATAAGATTATATGAAATTTTTTTCTTATTTTTAGCTGGTACAGTTCATCAAATTTCTAGAGGTGTTCGACGCCCAGACAGAGAACGCGCTACGTGTGACTAAGATAGCTATTGTACAATCTGCTAAACAAGTTATTTTAAATAGTTTTTAATATTTTTAGGTAATTAAATTTTAAAAGTGTGGAATAGTTTAGGGATTAAATTGGTCTGATTGGACTTTCTTAGAACGTTTTTAAAAGCAGCTAAAGATAGTATGTAGAATTGAAAATAATTATTATGCCATAAAAGGTGTTTTGGAATTCCTTCAACCTTTTGAAATTGAGTCAGAAAATATAAATTTTATAGGAAAGCGGAAAATACCTATAATTTTTTTGTAGGCCTTTGTATATCGTGGAAATAGTTTATATTTTATTTCTACCTTATTAAGGAAAATGGTACCTATTATTAATAACGGTTGTTTCTGAAACATTACTAAAATTTTCGAAATTTTGTTTTTCTACAAAATAATAAACTATACTATTTAGAAAAAAATTTATTTCTTATAATTTTATAAAAAATAACAGGGAAATATTTACATTTCTTGATCTATTAAACAAAACGATAAATTATCTCGACGAATGACACCAGAGATAACAGGAGATGTAGTTACTTACAAATATCGTGCTGTCGTGAATAAGACATATTCTATGTCATATGCCTATTTCATTATTCTCGTTTTTTTTACACAATTATTTACATATATTAAAAAAGCTAAAATAATTCAACCTATTTTACTGCAACTGAACCCAAAAAATGTTGAATCATTTGTTATATCAAATTTAAATAAATTAGATATAATTTCACTAAATTAGATGTAATTATTTTCAATAAATTCCAAAACTTGTTAGTGGTATATTAAATATCAAGTATTTTTTACGAGCTGTGGCAACAGCTAGTATTTTGTAGGCGGGGCATATTACGTTGTTTATTGTGAGCTTAGACAACGGAATATAAAATATTCATTCATAATTCCATCAACTTGTTTTGACAGTTGGCGTTGTAGAGATTGTTTAGTGTTATTGTTCATCGGATTTTCTCAGTTTTTTCTTGTGAAAGTGATTTCCCATTATTTTGTTAACATACAAACTTTAAAAATGGTGAAACAGTGCAAAATTTGTAAAAAACAAGACAAATTGGATCCAAATTCTTCGTTTCATATGTAAATATTTATAGGTTAGAATTTACTTATCATAGACGTACCAATTACGAAAAGTATCTTATATATTTTTAAATTATTAGTATTATTAATGTTTTGAATTAACCATGGTTGTTAATTAGCCTTAACAAAACAGGAGAAGATGCGAAATTTTAAAATTGGTACTGGGAATATTCCTAAAAATCTCAAAGTACCTAGTTAATCTTATGTAAAAATCG